TTTATCAGCCATTCTTCTCTTCTCTAAGATCTCAAGGAAAGATATGCTCCTGGATCCTCTCCAAAGATGATATAACTGGACAGTATTTTTAAATCTTCTCTAGGATCTTTATTCCTTTCATATTTTTACTTTTACCTTTCTTCTCTGACCTTGACCCTTATTCTACCTCATGCTGCACTTTTATTTCTGTCCAGTCACAAAAGCATACACAGTTAGTTCATGTCACTTTTATCTCCTAACTTCACCCTTCTGATTTACAGCCTAGATTCTCCCTTTACAAACAGCTCTTTCAGGTCATGAATCTCTATTCAATGGGATTATGCTTAACTCTTTTGCAAAATTACCATGATAATCACTTTTTATCATTTTTCCCATTTCTCCTCCTTTAAACTTTCTCCTCTCTGTGTTTTCCTGTCCCTAAACTGCTATGGGCTTCTTCCTGGTCCACTCTGGTCTTGTCTTGTCCAATGGCTCTATTTTCAAGAACAAAATCCTAAATATGATAATGTTTAACTGGCTGGCCTTAACCGCTTCATTCCGCATCCTCTCATGATGACCACACCACTGAGACAGGGTAACTCCTAAGTCCTGATATACTTTCACTCTGGCATGGTAATTTCTGACATAGTAAGGTAATTCTACACTGAGTAGATTATAATGGACATCTTACATGATACAACTGGATCCCCTATTGGTCATTTAATTCTTCAAAAAGCAGTTAACACAGATATCCATCAAAAGACATGCACAAATACTTGCTTAAAATAAAACCATAGCTCTAATCATAAATTCTTTGAATATAGATCCAGTAACTGAACCCACAGGGTACTGGAAGAAATTTCTTTTTTAAAAACAGAGAAGAAATTTAGGGCATATGACATATAAATTGTTTATAAATGATTTTAAAAATCCTGAAAGATTATATATATATATAGGGTCTTGCCACATTGCCTAGGCTAGCACTGAACTTCTGGGCTGAAGTGATCTTCCTGCCTCAGCTCCAAAGATTATATATATTTAATCTTTTAATCTTTCAGGATTATATATATAAAATCTTTCAGGATTTTTAAAATTATTTTTCCTAAATCTTTTCTAATTCTTAACTATACCTTATGCAGCAAATTTAAAAAGCTATTTTCCTATACAGTCTTTCAAAACCGTCCACTACATTTCTAACGAAATATTTGATTACTGTGCATTTTATAATCAATGCCTTTGTGAGTCAATACCATGCACACTGGGTAACCATTCAACTCAACTGGTAGAAAAGAAAACTTGGGAATACTGGCCAGCAGTCTATCAGACACAAGCATTCAGCTTGCTATAGGTGTCAGAATGGTGATTAATTGGGCAAGATACTCAGATGAGGGCGCTGTAAAAAAGCAAATGTACACACCAAAGCTGTACTAAGTCCAGAATTTTAGAGGTTAAGAATAATATCTAACCCTAGATATCCTAACCTGTCCCCTTTCAGCAACACAGTATTTCTAGACTTTTATCTTTAAATTTGTAAGAATGGTTTTAAGATGTATACATGGGATGACAATGTATTTTAAAAATTAGAATGGAAAAATGATTTATAATCCCTGAATAACAGACAGGTCTACACAGGCTGATATCCTCTATCTTTAAGGACTTCAGGGGAAAAAAAATTTCCTCTACATGTGCTTACAATGGGATTCCTTCTCCAGTGGAAACATAAAATTAAGACTTTAGTATATGTGCTGCCGAAGTGAGCACAAAATTAAGACTTTTAAGATCCTACTTTTTCTATTGTCTACTATTCAAGTGACTATTACTAAAATGTGTAAAAGAACGTGATCTTGGGGAGCACTGAAAACATGCACATTGCCCACATTAAATGAACTGCAACTGGTTTTAAATATACTGTAGAGACTTGCCTTACATAGCAGAAGTGAAAGGTGAACTTAATTGACTCAGTAGAATACAGAAAGGAGAATCCAGAACTTTGTGCATGATCCTGACCTATATTACGAAGGTTGAGGGTTTCTAATTTTATGTTTTGGTCCCCCAAAGTTAGTTCTTCCCCAAAATAGAAAAAGGCTGTGAATACAACTACAAATTGAATGAAGTAATTGAAGGAGGTAACATCTTTGAATTTTCTGTTACCTAAAAAGAAAAAAAAAAGGCAATGTTCAAAAAATAAGAAAACTGTAGGGCCAGCATGGAGGTGCACACCGGCAATCCCAGAACTCAGGAGGCTGAAGCAGGAGGATCACTGGGAGCTCAAGTATAGCCTGGGCTTAGTGTGAATTCAAAGCCAGCTTGAATTACATAGTGAGATCCCGTGACTTGCTGTCACACTCGCTCTCTCTCAATCAATCAATCAATCCCTGTGTCTCAAAAATAAAAAAGAACTGAGTATGTTTGGTGTGAAGGCTTTGATTTCAATCCCCGATACTGCAACAGTAATAAAAAATTGCTATGTATGTTTGAATGAATTTTTAAATCTTTTTTCTCCATTAATGCTTTGCAAGAGCAATTAAACTTATGATTTTGTTGTTACAGGGCTACTTATACTTTGAAATATTAGCAAAATACTCGAGGGCAAACTTTTTCCTTTTTTTGAGACAGGGTCTTGTCACATTGCCTAGGCTGGCACTGAACTCCTGGGCTCAAGCGATCTTCCTGCCTCAGCTCCCAAGTAGCTGGGATTAAGGCACATGAGTTAGGAAGAAACAACTTTTAATAAACACTGATAGCAAAAGTCTGATATGATGCAATACTCAAGTTAGGATTTCTTTTCTGAAACAAGGTCGCAGGCTGGCCTTGAACTCACTATGTAGCCCAGGTTGGCCTCAAACTCATGGCAATTCTCCTGCCTCAGCCTCCTGGGTGCTGGGATTACAGGTGTGCCACCATGCCGGATGATTCAATTTAGGTTTTGCTCAAATCAGAGTGCTTACATTGGCCTGTGGGTAGATCTGATATACTATTAAATGTTGTACATAATTAGAGATGTGTGTATAAACAATGTATTTCAGCCTAAACTGAATTATTCTATCAAGTAATATGCAACACTGTCTAACCTTTTGCAAACTGCTGGTCTCTTCTGTGAATATCATCATTCTAAAAAAAGAATTCCTCAGCACTGAGATGCAAGTAAAGCTGACATTTTACATAATGTGTGCCCCTGCTTGTCTTTTAATATTAATTTGATTGCTTTTTTCTGTCTCTTACTGTAAAATAAGACACTAAACTAGTCAACCAAAAGAAAGAACAAGAGGAAAAAGAGCATTTTATGAGGACTTCAAAACTCATTTTAAACCACTGATGAAAAATAATGTCCATGAATAGTGATTCAAAAACGGAACAGTATCACATGATCATTTAACATAACCCTCACCAAAGTGGTCATGAGCTTAGTCATTTACTATGGCTGCAGTGAGTCAACGTGAAATCTAGCTAAAACAAGTCTGTTCAGTTACAGTCATCATAGGAAGAACGCTTTATACCTTTCATCTTGAAAAGTAATCATTTTTTTCTAAAACATCCAAATAGATCAGCCACACGGACAATTCAGCTAGAAATGTGTTACGGCTTGTGTCTACACGTCTCCCCAAAGCCTCATGTGGTCATAGGTGGGGTTTTTCAGAAGTGGCTGGATCTACAGTGTATAACACTGGCACTGATTCACCATGCAATGCTAGGATCAAGGGCACTAGGATTAAGGGGATAAATGCTACCTCCCTAAGTAGCCTGGATGAGGTATAAGGGACAGAAAGTGCTGTGATCACCCCTTGCTTTTTTGCTTGGTTACCTTCTGCCTGCCATGAACTGTTTCTCCTCTGTGATGCTCCACTGCCATCCACTCTGCCTTGGAGCCAGGCGATTATGGACTAAAGCCGCTAAAAACTGTGCGCTAAATAAACCTCTCCTCTTTTAACTTTGGGTGTAGCACATTTTGTCACAGCAAGAGAAAACTAAGACAAAATGATATATTGGAAAATCTTTAATCATTCAGTAACTCTAAAGGTTAATGCTAGCTTACATAAAATACAATAACCATGAAACAAATAAGAAGTGATTTAATAACCAATTTAAAGTCTTCTTGGTTGTTAGAACTAATCAGAGAACGATGCTTTCACTACTTAATTGCTAATGAATAATTAAAAAACAGCACACCAGAGGTATCTCAACCTGCTGGAAAAGTTTGTGGTTTTTCTACTTGTTACTAGTGTTTCTCTAAGACGAATAAGGACCAACAGGACAAAGAATTATTCTCCAATGGCTCCCTAAAATTAAAATACATTCAAATTTCAGAATATATTTAATTAGATCCTCCACTATTACAAATGGAGAAAATGAGCCTGAAAAGGTAAAACCCTCATCAAAGTCACAAGATAGGCTGGGTATGTGGGCACATGCCTGTGATGCCATCATGCCAATCTGGACTATATAGCAAGACCTTGTCTCATAAAACCAAAACAATAAGCAAACAAAACAAAACCCACACAGACACAAACCAATGTCACAATACAGTGTTAGAGCAGGATCCGACACAGGAACCTCTTTAACTCTGGGTGTAGAGTACTTTACCCAGCACTGAGATGCAAGTAAAGCTGACATTTTACGTAATGTACGCCCCTATTTCTCTCATAACGTGTCCCACTGCAGGGCACATGCTGACTTTGTTCACCATCCCTCCCCAGCTGACCCAGACCCCACGTAACAGAAAATGCCATCTTCTCCACCTGATCCTCAATGACCTCAGAATTAGCACCAGCTCTTCCCAACGTACTATTTATGGTGGTCACTGGCAGAAACTCTTCACTTAGTGCATGTCAGTTAAAAGAGAATTATCAAAAACATGCATGTTAAATACAACCTACAAAAACAGTATTAAACAAACTTCTACTTTGTGATGTAAACTCTTCCGTTTACAGAAAAGGAATGATTTCTCTTTTCATCATCAAGAGGACATCTGACATCAATTAACTCTCACCAACTTTAAAGTGAAAAATTAAACACAAAATTACCTTTGAAGGCTTCAAGCTCCTTCCTGGAAGGGGGAAAAAAGAGAAAATGCAAATTTAAAATAAGATATTCCCAGTGCAAACTACTATTAGGTTATACAAAAATGCATGTACTTCAAAATGCCCAGAGTGGTAGTTCTGAATACTCACATATCAATTATGCTTTGTTGAAATTACCAATACAATTAGCCTAAGGCAATTATTCTCATTTATATTACCTATAAGTGACTAAAAAAACTACCAAACTTAAATTATTAAAACATTATAAGAAAACAGGCAATATTTTAATGTCAGGTATGAATCACCTCACGTAATTTTATAAAAATACTTAACGCAATCTTCCCTCCACTGATAATGCTAAGTAATAGATTTAGCATTACTTAGATAGGATTTTAATTAAAATTATCCAGAACAGGTGCAATTATTTCCTCTTTCAACAGCAAAGAAGAAGAGGGAAAAGCACACACATCAAAGAATTGAGCTCCTCAACTCATCCTGTCACAGAAAGACCTCGCCTCCAGGAATGGTCTGTTTATTTTGTCAATGTCAATTAAGGATGCTGAAACACAGTTTCCTGGGGAAATGTACAGAAGAGATCAATCATAAGATAAACATTTTGTGACAAAGAAGCAAAGGCAAATTGTTTTCAGGTTTTCCCTTATCATTTTGTATTTATTATATTTTTTCTCAGAATCAGTATTATAAAAAGTACTTTTGAGGAGGTAAGTTTCTCTACTAAAGGCCTGTTACCCCACTCAAACTATAAGACATTTATCTTTTACTCGCACTCTAGGTTTTACTAAAAATCTAGAGTTGTTTTGAATTCTCCAACCAGTATTCTACATTCATAATTATAACACCCCTTATGTTCTAAAATAGTTGCCTACAGTTCACAGCTGGTGGTTGGGCTGGCATGACGCCTACTGAAAGGCCAAGCAGATAATGTTCTTGCAACAGCTAACAGGAAAGTTCTTAAATCAGATTGTCATCCCACGCCTCCTGTCCGAAAAGTATCTACTTTTTATAATTTTCCAGCACTAGAGTTCATAAACTATGAAAGAGGGTATAACTTTCAATCCCATCTTTTCAAACAACTGTGCAACTGTTTCCTTCACCCAACAGTCAGCTTCATATTTACAAGCTTGGTTAGGTACAAATTAAAGATCCTTAAAATCAACTCTAGACTCAATGGGATGAACGCCAAAATCACCATAAGAGAATTCTGCAATGACCTTTAATTCCCCCTCTCATTGATGCCCTCAGAGTAACAATTCCCTGAAGCCACAGATAAGGAGCTAAGAGTAAACAGAACACTCAATTCAATATTCTAATGCATAATTCTTCCTTTCTCTGATCAGTCTTTAGAGAGCTTCTGATTTCTTTCAGAATGTGACTGTAAGCAGAATCTCTCAAAAGGCACTTTCAGGTTTAGAAAGAGAAAACAGAATCATTTCACATACACTAGTGTTCTCCACCCCCACCCCAAATCCCAAGAACTATTAAAAAGAGGCCCGCAGTGCCTGTTAGCTATGAGTAACTAACTGCTGGGTGGAGGAGGAGGCAGGCGCTGCCTCTCCCTAGAGGCCAGCCCTCTCTCCCTCATTAAGCAAGCCTAGCAGAGCCTCTTTTGGGCTATGTCTATTTATACAACAGGACTCTTCACTATACAACTAGTCATGAAATTAAGTAATTTAATTGAATACGTTGTTCTTGTACTCAATCCCTAAGAAGGAGGAGTGGTGGGAGGAGTGGTGGTACAGATAAATGGTAGAGCGTAAAACTTAGTGTCATGGAACTTAGGAAGAAGTGATCAAGTGAAGCAGCAGGAGCACTGAGGGTTCACCAGCATAAGGTGGCCAGCACCATTTGTTAGCATAGTAAGCATCTGGAAAGCGGAAGATCTAACAGCAGCAGAGGTAGCAGTGAGAGAGGGCACAGACGCCAAAGGGGTTGGCCATATGTAGCAAACACGCTTCCGAGCAGCAATACCTGACCAATGGTTTGTCCTCAAGCAAGGACTTCAGAACAGCAGGCTAAGTGAGGGGAAAGCATTTTGGGTAAAAAGGTAGAGGGTTCTCAGTGCTGCTCTACAAAATCTAGTTCTATTTTTAGCAGAATAACAAGAGCAAAGCTGTGCTACAGGAAGAACATTCTTGCTGTGACAGATAGATGTACTGGCAAGGGCGAGAACAAAAGTAGGGTGCACTTAGGAACTAGGGTGGATTTGGAGAAGAGCTAACTGATGCCAGGTGAGAGCAATGTGAGCAGCACTGGTAATGAAAAGGTTTCCAATCTGAAAACTGCCAGGCAAGACTCAACAGCCTGTGACACAGGATTAAGCAGAGGTAGGGTGAAGGAGAGGAGCACATTAAGCATGAGGAGTCCAGTATGAATCACCAAGAGGAAGGAGAATTCACCATGAGAAAATTTAGGAAGAATAGAGTCTGGGACACCTGCTGAAATAACCCAGAAGTCAGGATGTCTAAGTCCAGCGAAGGTGCAGCTAGGACTCCCATCCCCTTCAGCCCACTCAAGGATTTAGCTCCTACAGATTCCTACTCCCTCACTCCTGCCAGTCACAAGTTGTGGGGCGGGGGACACTCTTTCAGACTGAGCTTCTGCACCAGGCTCCCACAGACAGGCCAAAGCAGAATGGAGTCGCTCCTGCTAAATGCCACATAATCAAACTGAAATGTTAAGGACACTGTTATGGTTTATATCTAGATGTCCCCCGAAGCCTCACGCACTCAGAGGTGGGGCCTTTGAAAGGAGACTGGCCTCTGAGGGCGCTCATTACTGCTGGCTTGCTGGTAGGTGATGGGTCTGGTCAGAAGAGGTGGGTCACCAGGGCGTGACCCAGAGGTTATAGCTTCTTTCCTGGCTCCTTCCTTGACCCTTTCTGCCCCATAGGCACCATGCAGTAAGCACCTCTCCTCAGCCATGTGCCTCTGTCATGCCATCCCACCTTGGAGCTTGCTAACCATACACGGAATGGAACTCTGAAAAGGCGAGCCAAAATAAACCTCTCTTTCCTTAAGTTGCGGGTGTCCGGTATTTTGTCCCAACAAAATACCAGCGAAGGAAGCAACCCAAAGATTCCCCAAACAGACCAGTGTTTCCTGAAAACAGGAGATTCCAGTTGATCTAATTCAGACAGAGTTTAAGTGTGTTCCCCAAGGGTTTCCGTGATGGAAGCCTGGTTCCCAGTGTGGTGGCATTAGAAGGTGGAGCCCAGCAGGAGGCCAGTGGGAGCACCTCCTGGGGAAGGGATTACGTAGTTTTATGGGACCACCAGGAAGTTCCTACTAGACCGAATTGTTCTAAAAGAAGAAGACTGACCCCTTCCAGCTCTCTTTGTGGCTTCCTGTCTCCTCACATGACCTCTTCTGCATGTATTCCCTGCACTGTGATGCCACTTCTCACGAGGCCTTACCAGAACAAGCAGAAGCCGAGACCCTGTTCTTGCACTTCCAGAATTTAAACTACTGAAACCTCCTTTTTAAATGTTACTCAGGTATTTTGTTATAGCAATAAAAAATGGACAAACACACCAGCCTACCTAACTCAGTATAACAAGGAAGCCCTCTCTGCTTCGACCTTCACAAAAAATACAAACCTGAAGTTAACTGCTACGGCTTGAATATCGTTTGTCCAAAACTCACGCTGAGGTTTTATTCTTCAAGGCAGCATGTTTGGAGGTGGGGGCTAGTGTGAGGTGTTTAGATCATGGGGGTGGAGCTCCATGAAGAGATGAGAGCTGTTTTGCAGAAGAGAATTACCATGGGAGTGGGCTGTTAGGAAACAAGGTCTTCCCCCTGGTCTCTCATTGCACTCTCACTTGTATGTCTGCTTTTCCACCACGCATGGAGCAGGCTGCTCTCACCAGAAGCCAATCAGATGCAGCCCACCACGCACAGACTTGCAACCTACACAACTGTGAGCTAAGCAGACTTTTATCAGTTCCCCAGTCTCAGGTATTCTGTTACAGCAATGGAAAATGGACTAGGACAGGAATGGTGAACCTTTTAGAGCTTTCAATGATAACAAACAGCCTGCTGCAGCATGTGTGCCACAGATTCACCACCACTGGACTAGGATGTTAATCGATCAGCTTTTTCTCTACTGTTCTGCTTCCTTGTTCCCACCTTATAAAATCCCTGTTCTGCTGTTGCTCAGTGGGTGCTTCCATTCTAATCTGTAGAAAGGAGCTGCCATGATGTATGAACCATGAATAAAAGTCAATTAGATCTACAACTAAATTGGTAGTAATTTTTTTGACACAGGAAGGATCTTGAAGACACAGGAAAGCATCACTGGCTTCATTTATCGCAGTCCTTGGTCTTTCTGATAGAACCCTGGGAGTCATAAATTCTTGCCAAGCCTGCCCTCTTGCGTTAGTGATGCTGGGATTTAGGGTGTTTGGGAATTCTTCCCAAGCCTGCCCTTTTTCTCTTCGGATCTGGGCACCAAGTGTTACTTCGTACCACGAGAACTCACTTCACCTTTGGCTTGTTGGTGGTTGATGTGTCAAGTGGCCTGAATTGCAGTTTAAAGTAACAGGCAGCAGACGCGGTAAACTGTTACTGCTGCAGAGGGTGTGAACCTGGGCTTTGGGGATTCAAAAGGATTTGGGTTTCTCCTCTTCATTCTTTGCCTCTCATACAGCAAGGGACGAGTTGGTCAAGGTGGACAACGAGATCTCAGGAACAAAAACACAACTCAAATGGTGGACACCATCAGGCATCTATAAGGCATTAGGGTACTCACCACTAAAAACTAAGCCTCCTGTGAAAGGATAAGCTGGTAACAGAATGAGACAATTGGAGCCGGGGATATAGCTCAGCAGCACAAGTGCCTGCCTGGCAAGTGCAAGGTCCTGAGTGTGATTCCCGGTACAAAAAAAAAAGAAGGAGACAATTGATCTCAGGTTACCACTAGGCACCAGGAAATGCGCAACAAGGGACGCTGGGAAGCAGAACGTGACCTAAACCTGCTGATCTCCCTCTTAGGCTTTTATCTCCCCTCA